AATCGAGCGGTGTCGAATCGTACTGTGGTCAATAGAGTATCACCCGGCAGCGGTAGCACTGTAGGGGTCGTCGCTCAAGTACCTCGGGGCCTTGATCTACCCTACCTTGAGTGATCCGGTGTCCGTGATCTTGCGCCCTGCGGCGACCAAACACCGGACTCACGCTGTAGATAGCTCCTTGAGTAAAGCGCGAGCTCGGCCGACTTTTATATCGGTCGGCCAAAAACCCCCAACAGCCACTACAGGTTGCTCAATTTCCTCGGGAGTGATAGAATCATCGAGGCCCCTGACTCGCAACTCACAAATCTTTACGGGCCTTGTGACCGTCACCCCCAGTTCTCCGGCCAATGCGGATATGGCTTTTTGTAGCCGGTCTGCCCTGGTCTCGTTGCCTTCATCGGGGATCTCCATTATAAGAACTCCGGTGACGGCTCTCTTAGGCCGGACTTCGGAAATTCCGAAGTCCGACAACTTAATCCTGCGCCGCATCCAGGCCACCGCCGCCGCCACGTCTGCACCTTGGGCGTTGGCGGTTATCGTGATGGCCGCAAAGCGGGGAGATTTCCCGACTTTAGGGCGGGTGGCGCGTTGTCCGGGCCTAACAGCCCCTGGGACCAACGGGTCTCCCTTCCGCACTTTTTGAGGAGGAGGCTGCAACTTGCGCCTCTTTCCTCTTGTGTTTGCGGCCGACCACCTGAAACCAAGAGGTCCTAGCTCGGCCGCAGAGACTCCGGCGTAGATTGACTTGATGGGGCCGAGTCCACGCGGCGGGCGGCCTGTGGTGGCACCGCCGGCTGGACCTGCGTGTCTCCCTCTCCGCTCTTTGTTTTCTTTTTATTTTTCTTCTTCTTCCCCTTTGCGGAGGAAGAAGAAAGAAGAGTGGCCTTACGCGAAGGGCCGGCTATGGCCGGAGTGCCGGCGCCGCTCTTCGCGGTTGCGCCGCTGGGCGCTGTTTTCTTGCCCAGAGGAAAGGGAGGTGAGACTTCCTCTCCACTTGCCCCCAGGGACGGGCGAGAGAGCCGCTGGGACATTTGCTCCCAAAAGATGAACAATTAAGAGCGCATTGCGTCCATGATGCGGCCCTCCACCTCTCTGAGACTTGGGGCTTGGTGGTGCACTTGTGGGCGGATAAGTGGGCGTCCGGTACGCCACAGGCAATACCGAGCGCTCCCCTTGCTTCGTCTTTCCTCCACCGGGAAAAGAGGAGTCGCCGCCCAGGAGCCCTCCGGCTCCGGCGGCACGGAAGGTCCCGGTGGCGAGGTAACCACCCGCGGGGATGGAGCAGGGGGAAGCGGGGACCGGCGGCCGGAAGGCCGTTTCTTACGGCTTCTCGCCTCCTATAACCGCTCCTTCTTTAAAGACATGAGATCTCGCCTCAAGTTGCGGAGTTCGCCGTGCAGGGCGTTAACCTCGCCCTGCAAGCGACCGTTCTCTTAAAGGACGTTGTCCATTTTGGCCTAAACGGCGCCCTTCTTCTTCTCTAAGGAGGCAGTGTTGTCGCGCAGCCGGCTGACCTCCGCGCTCAAGGACGTATTAAGCGCGTTGAGGCGCTGGGTCTTCCTTAAGAGGTCTAGCCGGCCTGCCACTATGGATACGGCCTCCTCTAGGCCGGTCGCCGCCTTCTTAGATTGGCGGACAAAGGTACCTTTAAGGTTCTTCGACCTTGCCGCCAATTTCCGGACGGCCTCCGTCATTTTCGCGGCCTGTCCGACCACCTGGGACGTGGACATGTCCCTGGTAATTATTGGACGCGGTGGCGAGGCCCCCTCCGCCTGGCTCGAGGGGAGGGGCCGTCCAGAGCCGGCCGAAAGAATGGAGACGCGCATACCGTCGATCTCCTCGGCCAGCTCCTTTTTGGCCCGCAATTCCATCTCACGCCGGAGTTGCTCCACACACTTCCTCTTGGCCTCTGCCAGGCCAGCGTATTCCCACGTCGTAAAGGGTCTCCCCCTCCCGCGCCTTCGGACTCTCACACTATTAGACTTCTTGGGTGACCCAAGAGACTGGAAGGCCGGAGGAACCTCTTCTTTCTCGCGCGACTCGCGAGGTGGGGCTTTGTCCCGAGTACTGGCGACTAACTCCACCTCCAAATCGGAAGCGTTGTCGCGGGAGAGAGAAGTGAGCTGCAACAGTGCGAGAAGACGGCAATTTTTGTACTCAGCCTTCATTCTCCACCCTCGAGCCGGAGACTGGCAGTCTCTGGCTCCTCGGGCGTCTCTGCTTCTTAGGGTCTATTAGGCCCAAGCAGAGAGAAACGCTCCAGTTTTTCAAAGGTGCATACGCTCCAAGTTGCTTCGCAGACGCATCTTTATGCGCCGCCCCTGCGGGGCAGGCAACGCAAGATCCGTCGTTGGATGACGACCCAAGGGTGGCCGGGACAATACCACTTAAGTGCCGGAAATTGACCGTCCGATCGATTTGTTCCAGTACGATCTTAACTTCCTTATTTGCCATTATTATGAGAATAATAAAGCTGGTTTTATTTCGGTGTGTCCTTCATCTAGATCGGTTGCCGTAACCAGGCTGCGGGCCCGACCTGCCGGGGTTTTCTGTCAGGGTTTACCTTCCCTTATTTCCCCTTTTAGTTCAGGAGCTCCCCAAAGGTCTGTCTAGCATAGGTTGTGACCGGGGTAAGTTTGTATTTGGCCAAGTACTCACGCTTTACGCCGGTTTTACACGGTCGCCAGGTAATTTATCCTCCAATTACCAAGGATGTAATTAATTATTCTCTTTGTTTCAGGTACGGCGTCACAGTTCGTCGGGACAACACCTTCCAGGATGACCAAGATACACACAGGTAAGTAACTTGATTAACACGGTTTATTTTTTGATATAATTTTTTTAATACTTATGTATGTGAATAAACAATGTATTATTGATGTAATCAGTCTTATTATATTTCACGGATCACAACTGAGTGCTTCACAATCTGTTTTTATTACAGGATGCGACATGTACACGTCCGCACAGTGTAACGATTGTTATGCGACTACTCTACCACGGCGTTGCCTTCTTTCTCGTGCCGGCGCAGCGGCAACCGGCGCGCATGCGCAGTAAAGATGTAACGGTCCTACTTTTCTCTAGAAAATTTCGTTCCGTTTGTTCAAAGATTTAATTTGATGTGCTGCGGAGTAGCTCGTCGGAAACGGGAAAAAAATAGAAAGAAAAGAATGACTCGGTGTGATTTTAGTAACAGAACAAAATAAAATAATTTATTCAAATAATTCAACAGAAAGAAATAACGAAATAGTTTTAGAATACAAAAAGAAATAATACGCTGTGGAATTCACGTGCCGACGAATTCCTGGAACGGTATGCGGCAAGTCACGCTTTCTTCGGAAATATATCAAAAAAACATAAGTTGTGTACACAGTCGGAGATTTAAACGGCGCGACTCGGTCAAGGCCGTTTCGCGGGCCTCGTTTATTTGTCTACTCGGAAACGTGTTTATAGCGAGAATTGATTTTATCTCGCGGAAAAGTCTCTTTTCTATGACAAAGAGATTTACAAAAATGCTGTGTCTTAACTCACTTTTATCGGCTTGTGAAAACAATATTTACAATGCCGAAAGTTACTTTATTCCGAAAAGTAGACTTGCTCGGTCGGCCTCTTTAGGCTCGGTTGTTCTTACGGTCGCCTTTAGCTTATTCCCCTGGAACGGCTCCAACGGAAAGAGTCGGCGCAGCCTGACGGAGACTCACGCAATTCCCTTGGGCTGGTTTCAACGGAAAGGGAGCCGGTTTACCCGGTCGAGAATCTAGAGATTCCCCTGGGCGGAGCGGAGCGGATGCCGGTTTACCCGGCAGAGAATCCAGAGATTCCCCGGAGCGGAGCGGAGCGGATGCCGGTTTACCCGGCAGAGAATCCA